TTCTTGATGTGATGTTTTTCTATTATTTTTCTGAGTGCTTATAAATTTTAAAGATTACTAGTGGATGATAAAAGCAATGAACAAGTAGAAAAGGAAGTCAAACAAATTTTAATTCATCTACGCATGTGTTGAAAACATGTCGTAGCTATTCACTGACAGCTGTGCTCATGACTTTGATTTGATATTATATTTACACAGTGTACATGAAATTACATCGTAAACAGAAATCCAATTAGCTGAATCTATGCTTTTGAACTAAATCATATTCTCTGTGTTTAAAGTAAATACCTCTAATTTTCATAATATGCAGCCAAGTACACAGAACCAAGCAAACACTGTGACAGCAGAGTAATTTTGAGAACAGGGGTCTAGATACCACGTCACTGTCACTGCCCCTTTCTCTTTGTTTTAGATGACAAGAGTGTCATGCTAACTGGATGCCATCTGACTCATCTTCCTTTGAGATTTACCTTATCTTTCTGCATCAGTATGCAAGAATTTCATTGAATATTCCTTGAAGTTTATAACAGTTTCATGGGGTACTTACTTGTTCCACAATAACCTAAACTCTTTTCATGAATTAGTTCAGTTTTTTAGGACAACTTTGTTTGAGGGGAGATGTTCTATGACTGGTGCTATTTGCTACCAACACAAAAGTCTGAACATGCAGATTAACCATTGTCTAAAATCTTCCCATTACCACATAAGACTGGAGATAAAACACCCTTCATCTTGATGTTATAAGAAAGCAAATATTACAACTAAAACATGTGAACTATCATAATTTATTGTCTCCTAATTCACACAGGGAGCTTTATATGAAAAGATGGCTGTTACTTATTCAAATTTGTGTAATTTATAATAATTGTATGAATGTCTTGGTAGAAGACATATAGTTAAAACTAATCTACTTTATTGATGACCTGACTCAGTTTCTAAGTGACTAACAGACAGAAAACTCATTTTGTGAAAATAAAAACATCACAGAGAATACTACAATAATAAATGTCCATATATTTTCTGTTTATACATGAGCTTACATTTATATATTTTCTGTTTATATACACTTCCAATGGAAGAAATCATAGTTTTAAATACTACCTGTTTCATGGGATAACTTGAATGTTTGAGCCCCATCTATGTAAATGACTTTTAGCAAATCCTCTAACAGTCACTCAGAAACAGTTACAAATCTGATGTCACAAATCACACATAAGGAAATGTCACTTCACACCTCAGGAATCCCAGGTACATTTTGCTTCCATGTTGGAAGGTCAAGTTTATCCTTTCAGATGCATGGATGTTACTTTGGTACAATTGCACAGTCAACACATAAAGATTTGAACTGTCATTGCTGTCTGCCACAGAGAAAATGTGATCTACAAAGATTTTTCCAAAACATGATACTTTAAAGAGTGCTGCCGGAAATAGGAACTTATGGCTGGCAATTGCAGCCTCAGGGGCAAATACATTCTCTATCACACAGTCTCGTTAAAGACACTTCTGTGGTCCATTTACACAAGCGGATCCAATTCTTTAAAAGCGTGTGCATCAGAATCAACGTGTGAAAGACTTGGGCAGGGAAATTCATTAGTACCTCATGTCATTTCATTGTAGTTAAAGCGAGACTCCTTCCAACATCAAATGCATTTCCTCAAAAGTGTCTTTGTGTATAAATGAGTGTGCTGTTGTCCTCTCTTTCTGTGGCTTACCCAACAGCTTTATCCTTGTGTTGGAATAAGGTACAGGACGGAGGGGCATTCACAGTGTACAGTGTCATCTGGAAATAGATTCCTACGGAAGCATGTGGTAACAGCTGCTGGTCAGGTCCCAGAGGAGACCGCACAGGTGACTCCTACTGGGAGGACAACAACCACCCATCTGCTCAAAGTTGTTCCTGATGGAAACCATCAGAAGCTGGTAGACCTGCACTCCTCCCCTGCTAAGCCTTGCTCCTTCTGAAGTCACTTGAAAGTTCACATTTGAAAGACACCAGGAGCATGAACACAGCATAAGAGAACTGAGGTTCAGCGGCTAATGCACAAGCCTCCTCCAGCACTCCATGGTTCCTTTGCAGGAAGACATTCTAAAGAACTGTTCTCCCCACCATTCTCTCAATCCTACAAATCTTCTTTCTGAAGTGCAGTCATTGCCTTGGAATTGCAATTCTATTCTCCTGCAGAATAAAACTATTTGAAAAGTACAACCATTCTGTTGCAAAGCTCTTCAGCCTCCTCCTGTACTTGTTTTCTTTGACCACACGTATTTGTGCCCACATTGAACGGATCTTTGTATTAGCTACATTTTCAGAGAATTAGCTTAACTCTATTTTTGAATTTCTGTGTCCTTTCCAAACAACAGAGACAACATTAAGGTCTTTTCTTTTTTTTTTTTTTTCTTTTTTTTTTTTTTAGCTCTGTGGGGCTCAGTGGGAAAGTAGAGGAAAATGATTGTTGAATGAAGGTGAGCATTCACGTTTCTTTCAGAACGAATGAAGTCTAAGCCAGGAGTGCTGATGTTGTTCACGCTGATGGAATTCTGGGATGTCTGTTTGATATCTATAGGGTCTCTAACTGTGGTGGTAAGGGGGGAGGGCAAACATAACATACAGCTTCCAGTACTTCTCTTTGAAAGGCAGACTTATCTGAGAATTGCCACCCGGGTAGCTAGAATACTACTATAAAACATCTGTCTTCTTCAAACTACAGTACCTGTTTCAAAGCAGTCATTCTTTCCCTTCCAGACACCAGGCCTACGGCAGAAAAAGCAAATAGAGGATCTCTACTCAGAGACACGAGACAGGGCAAATTGTACTTCCACATTCCCTACACTTTAGAAGGAACTTCAGAGTCAACAAGTGGCAATTGTCACCCTCTACGGATTTAGCCAACACAGTGTAAGCATGTGAGATACAATTGCTTCATATAAAGAACCACTGAAAACGTCAGCTAACAAAACCCAGTCCCACGTGGCTGTGGCTGAGCCACACGGTGTTGCTTAACACTACAGCAGGCCCCTCAGGACTAACGCAACTGTCTTCCCAGAGCTTTGCAGACTCGGTTTCAACCTTTATGCTTTCCACATGACAATGATAACTGCTGACTACTGGGAGGAGAATGGCCTCCTGGGAGTCTCCTTTAAAGTCCGTTCTCTTCTGGCAAGTGACACACTGATAAAGCCACATTCATTTTCAAATATGTTCACCATCAGATGGTAACTAGGGGATCTAGAGCAATAAGATGACCCACGCAAATTATAGAAATTACGGAAATTCACTTTTCAAGTTCATCTTGTATTTCTGTAAAATTCAAATACCGGGACTGTAGAATGTTCCTATCTAATATTAAACCGTATTAACTTAATATTTTGCAATAAAGGTGTTGACTTTCAGTCTTAATGATATCTATAGAAATTATCACTTTCATAGATACAGAAGTTCATGACTCTTGCATTACAGAAGTAGAACATGGTTTGGGTGGAGACTACAGAGCTCATGTACCACTCTAATGGTAGCTGCTTTCAAAAGCAAATGGACTATGGGAACTCAAGAAAACCTTCCTGTCTTTTTTGCCACTGTGGGTTGGGTTTTCCTTATCCCACAATTTACTGTTTAATGGGTATGTTGACCTGCATCTACTCAAGTACAAACTTTAGAAATGTGCCTTCTTCAAAAGAATGCACAGTTATTATTAAAGTAGAAGGTGAGAACAAACGGCAGTGGCCTGAAGACAAACTTTATTAGTCTGTTGGTGCTCACCACAGTGTTCAAAAGAGCTCATTATTTAGATAAGTCTTATTATTAATGGGAAGCAGAGAGAATTTCTTTAAAACACAAGGAGAATATTATAAATTGAAATGACAATCAAATCTTTAGAAGAAATAACACTCAAGTTTGATTTCAGTTTTGTAAAGTCACTTGGGTTGTATTCAAAGAAAGACCAAATTTATCAAATTTTGGAGCTAAATGGAGCAGTTTGCATGGAAAGGGAAATTTGGTTATGCAGGTCTGAAAGAAACATGTACGAGAAACAGAATCACGAATTCACCATCTTACTTTAAACAGCGTGTGAGCCTGCTTCGTCCCTTCTCTCTGAATCTTGTAGTTTTGGTGAGTTATACAATCAGTTAGTGTCTCCATTCATGTGGATTTGAAAGAATTCTACACTCTGTGTGTGTTATTTTATTTCACGGAGGCCAAGGAAAAGGGTTTGCTGCCAGTAGGGTGCTCATGGCATGCAGAATAAATTCAGTCCCGGGCACTAAAACAGGCCACCGTTGTGCTGTGCTTGGGAGAGAAGAAAGCAAACCCATCACCAACTTTGGGACTCGATCCCCAGCAGCAGTCACAAAGCACTTCTCAGTCATTGCTTTTGAATTCTCCTCTAAAAATAGGTCCTCTGTACTGGGGCTGAAATTCTCATCCTTGGCCAGTGACGGAGCACAGTGGCCGATTGTTCTCAACTACGTACTCCTCTACCTCAGTCTTGTAACTTTAAACACAGCCAAAGAAGTCACCTGCCACCAAGACCACTCAAGACTTCAGCGAGGCCCTCAGAGGAGTGTGGCGACTACTCTTAGGCTTTCTCTGGCTCTCTGAACCTTAGAATTCTCTCCCCTGAGTACCAGAGTTCCCTAATTACTAGTAGAGGTCTGATGTAAACAGGCACTCTGGGGATATTCTCTTCTCTCCCTACTTTCTCTTTATGGTGTCCTTTCTCAGCATGTTCACTGTTCCTGGCCACAGGGCTCCGGGACTGAGGGAGGGGGTGGGGTAGGGGTTATCTTCATTTTGCTCCGCAGGGATGCTCTTGATCCCTGAAGGGAGGCAATCCTGAGACTTTCTCCCAGAACCTGGGGGAACTATATTAGGGCTGTGCTCTGTCCAAAGATTCTGATCCTTTATCACCCAGCTAGCATCTTGCTTAGGTGGGAGGTGCCTCTCTCTCCCCTGACCAGCAAGCACAGCCTCCTTGTTTGGGGCCCCATGCTCCTGGACTCACCTGGTGCTGAGGACGAGTGCAGGCAGCAGGGGCAGCAGGTAGTGTGCAGCGTTGAATTTCATGTCGCTGCCCTCTGGAGTACTCCTTCACTCTCCTCTGCTCTTTTGCCTCCTCCGTTCTGGTCGGTCGCTGCTCACCTTCCCAGGAAGCCCTCTCCAGAGATCCACAAACACACTGATAGAGGCTTTATGAAGGCAAGGATCAGAGCGCGACTATCTTCAGGAGTGATGTCACCCCAGAGCCCTGCCGGGATGGTCCAGCACTGTGGTCAGGGCGCACAGGGCGGGTGTAGCCGCGGAAAGAGGAAAGGACCCGCGTCCAGGTCACTGCCCTGGTAGCCAGCTGCACTTGGTCACTCCCGTGCGCGCACTGGAGCAGATCTCCTCTTCCCTGCTCTTACTGAAGACAGGAGGGGAGGGCGGTGGCAAGGACCAACCTCATTCTCCAGTAATTGAGCTGGCGTGCTCCGCAGGGTGAGAGACAATTCGCTGGGAAGGACTCCAGACTCTTTAGGGTCCGGAGCAGTCGTCTCTCACCAGCTTGCACTGCTTTTGCAGAGATGATGCTTGGAGAGTAAGCTTAAAATACTGCTCTAGTTGGATGCATAATGGCTTGCCTGCTGCGGATGGAGTGGAGCAGCAGCCAGTGCAAATCAGAAGCCGGCCCTTACCCAGATCCCTGTCATGGAAAGAGTCCTGGACCAAAAAGAAGTCCGCAGCTCTTGGTTCTGGTGTGTTGGCGTCCTCTCTCTTCTGGTCTTGGAGCAGAGCCTGTCAGCTGCTCAAGAGTGTGCAGCTGGCTGATGGAGCGCATACACCTTCAAGGATCGTTTTCCTGTGGGCAAACTCCCCAGCAAGACCATAGAGACAATTGTCATTAACTCAATGGTAGCAGGAGGGGGCAGGGACTTTAGATGCCACTGTGTTTTGTGAAGTTTCTAAATGTTGCATTCCAAGCATCCAACGTTTAACAAGCTTTATTTTAGGATTTTTAGTTAAAAAGAGGAAACAGCACAACTCTAAAGCACTCTACCATTTTACAAAATCAGTTTTAAAAGAAAGGCTGACTTCACTTACAGAGATTTGAAACTCCAGGATCTTCATGTGGTGCTCTCTCTCTCTCTCTCTCTCTCTCTCTCTCTCTCTCTCTCTCTCTCTCTCTCTCTCTCTCTCTCTCTCTCTTTCTCCTCGTGTGTGTGTGTGTGTGTGTGTGTGTATTAGAAGAACGTAGATGTGACATTCCTCTCAAGAATCAATGTACTAAGGTAGACATTTCAATTTTCCTATCACAGATGTGAGGAAAACAAGGACCACCAGTATCTTGACAGGACTTTTGCTTCCTAAACAAAAAACTAGCTATTCTAAGTCCTAAGACAACCTTGCTGCTGCTGTGAATGTCACACCTAAAAGAATCAGGCATAGGCAAGACTCAGGAGATGAAGTGCAGCAGGTGCTGTCCCAACTGCTCAGTTGATGGCCCCTCTTCTGTCCAGCAATCCATTTATAAGAAAAATGTCAAAGAGCAATCTGCTATAACTGCAGTATTGAAATGTGTTTGATGATAAAATAAAGAGAAATGCTTGGACTGGGTCTCCATGCCCTGTTGTGTGCTCTATTGGAGACCTATAAATTTCCTTCAAAGATTGTTAGAACATCAAGGAGCACTTGGCTGAAGGTGATTTGGGAAACTCTTGTAAGATTAGAAGTTTAAGAAACTACCCTCAGCCAGGGAGTGGTCGGGCATGCCTTTAAACCTAGCACTAAGGGAGGCAAAGGCAGAGTTCAAGGCTAGCCTCCTCTACAAAGCCAGCACCAGGACAGCAAGGGCCACATAAAGGGACCCTGTCTTGATAAACCAAAGAGAAAATGAAGAAGGAAAGAAAAGTATCTACATTAAAACACAGACTTTCCTTAGTAGATTCCATACCTCCCTGGGAAATCATAATATGTCCTATAAGATGTCCAAAAGTGAGAAAGAAAACTCAGTTCCAAAGCTGATTCTCTGGCTTCAGGAGGCCAGTGTGGTTTCTGAAGACAATGGGGAGAGCAGCTTCACTGAGACCAACTTCCTTTAGGACAATTCTTCATAACTTCTATACCCAAGCCCAAAGGATTCCAGCAATACAGCCACATGGGCTGCAATGACTTTCTTTGAAGTGTTGAAATTGGGAAACAATGAGGCCCCTATTTTCAATAGTTTTATTAAGGTATAATTACCATATGAGAAATTTGACCATTGCAAAGTGTATAATTCAGGGTTTTAAATATTTTCACTACAAAACAAAAATCAGCACCAATGTAAAACTTTATATTTTTTTTAACTAGCCACAAAACAACCACAAACCCATTATAATTCACTTACCACTGCTCCCCTTATCTCTTGCCCCATCTTTGGGAAGTCACATTCTTATTTTTATTTCTGTGACTTCACAGAGTTCTTCACAGTTCAGATTGACCAGCACTGTTAAGTCTTTTATGATTTTTCCCTTTCACATTTAGGGTTCAACATTCATTCATTCATGGCATGGCTTGCATCAGTAGTTCTTTCTTTCTGTTGGTGTATAATATTAGACTGAATAGACATATCACATTTGGTTTGTTAATTCATTAAGTGACCAACATTATTCTCTTTAATCTATTATAAATGACTCTACCAAAATTAATACAAAAAGTCTTATTTGTAAACATAGATTTTTTATTATATTGAGTATAGAGCCTCCAAAACAATATAGAGAAACCCTGTCTTGAAAAACCAAACCAACCAAACAAACAAACAAAAAAAGAATAGACTTCAATGGGTTTTTGTTGCTGTTGTTTTATTTTTCTTTCCTTTCTTTCTTTTTTCATTCTTTTCTTTTTTTGAGGCATGGTTTCTCTGTAGCTTTAGAGCGTGTCCTGGAACTTGCTCTGTAGACCAGGTTGGCCTCAAACTCACAGAGATCCACCTCTCTCTGCCTCCCAAGTGCTGGTACTAAACGTGGGCACCACCACTGCCCAACAGCTTTTACAGGCTTATAGGAGTTGTCAAGTTCTTTTCTCAGTACATGGCTTTCAGTGGTCCAATATTCATTCATTGAAGGGGTTATTCTTTTTCCAGTTTCATTCTCACAATAATAACACTATTAACCCTAAAGTTTTGCATAGGATGATAGGTCTCCATATTGTAAACTTGACAATCTCGTACATTTCAATTTCAGGTTCCTTGTTTGAAATTCTATGGTTTCTTCCTGAGTTAGACTTGTTACATTTTATGGCTTTTATTCTGTATACCGTAGCTATGGATCTGAACTTGGTCTTCAGTTTGGAGTTCTTCACTGGCCTCATAAACATATGTCCTGTGCATATGTTGAGCCAAATTCAATGGCATAGAAACCTTTCATGACCCTTCCTCTGTCTCTGAATATTTTCTACTATTTCCTTAACTCAGGCACACAAGCTCTAAACCTAAGAATGGAGCCTTATTTCTGCCTCTGTCTCTTGTGCAAGTGGTCAACTAGCTATGGACCTTTCATACATATTCATTTATGCCTCTCATTCTAGGCAGTAGAGCTCTGTCCCTGGGTTCTTCATCTCTTGATTCACAAATAAGCCTCTGATCTTCAAGGTGATTCACTCAAGTGTATTACTCTTGCCCAAGCTCACTCAGCTGAAGACATCTGAGTAGTCATGGGGCCTTTCAGACATTACCCTCAAATATTGGATTCCATGTATAAAACTTCTCTCTTCATTTTTGGTTCTATGTTGTTTCATCTTAAAGAATGATTCCTTCTGATACATCTGCAGAATTCCTCATGATAATCTCCCTCTCTCTCTCTCCCAGACCTCCTGATTTCCCACCCCTCCTCCCTTAATAACTGAAAAGTAATGAGACTCATGTCACATCAAGGCTGTAGTTTCTTTCTAGAATCCGCCCCCTCATTCACTGGCTAATGGGATATCCCTCTCAAGAGCCTCATGACACATGACATTTTTGAATTAATGTTGCATTTACACCACATTTTCCTGTCACTACCAAACTATAAGAATGTTAAGAATACACATAGAGTTTAGAATGAAGATGCTATTACATATAATTATAATTTATGTAAGCTTCTGTAACCAATTGATGATTTTCTCCAGTTGAATACATGAATCTGGGAAAGGGGAGCCAAAAGAAATAATAAAAAAAATTTACATGTCTTCCTGAAAATTTGTTTCCTAATTTTGGACTCACTACTTTATCATTTGTAATTAAAACTATTGACAGGTAACTTTGTCTAATGAGACCAATTATCTATTTGGACAAAATTGTCCTGAAAGAATGAAGAGAAACACAGGATCAAAACAAACTCCTATTATTTGTATACAAACCCCATAAAATTGCAAATAAAAGCAAAGTAGATACTTTTTGATACTGCCGAGCTCAGCATCTTCAAATTAGTCTCTTAATGACTTGACTCTGTTGACTTCCATCCTCTTCAGTCTTTCTAGTTCACAGGAATGATGCAGGACCTCTTGAGTGGCAGTTCTGTGCAAGGAGACTCCTTTGATCCATGAATGCATCCATGGATCCTTGCTTTGCTAGCAGCATTATGGGCAAAATATTCTGTCATGAAGTCTGTGTACTTGAAAACATAGGCAAGCGTAATTAATATTTTAACCTATTATTTTTTGGAGGTGGAGGCTACAGATGTGGTCTTAATATCTAGACTAAGCTATGCTCTAACTTCTGACAATCCTTTCTTCAGTCTCCAGAGTAATAAACTTAAAATTATGGACCACATACCTAATCTGAATTCTTAACATTACGTTTCTAATATTGGAAAGCCATTGCCCAAATGCAAGGCTTTCACTGTAAATTTAAATCTGCTTTGGGCCAATAGTTTCACAGAGAATCCTTTAGGGTATATCAGACCCAATAAGGACTTTTTTTTTGGGAAATCTTTTGATAAGCATAGAAATGCCTTACCATATGAATGCCCTTGGCTATAAGATTTTTTGAACCCTTCAGTAGTTAATTTTCAGTACTGTCACATTTTCTAACATTTTGATTAAGAAATCCATTCTGTCCATTTTTTAATATTAAATTATGCCCTCGTTTATGAATCAATACTATCTCTTGTTTCATCGTAATAAATTCATGTTTTCTCTTTTACATATATTTATTTGTCTTGCTGATTAAATTTACAGCTCTCTCTACACCCATTATGTGATGAACAAAACAAACAAACAAACAACACACACACACACACCAGCCAGGAAGTGGTAGCACACACCTTTAACCTCATCACTCAGGAGGCTGAGGCAGGCAGATCTCTGTGAGTTTGAGGCCAGTCTGGACTACAAAGTCAGTCCCAGGACAGCCAGGACTGTTGCACAGAGAAACTCTGTCTTCATAAACTGAACCAAACAAGCAAAACTAAACCAAACAACAACAAAACAAAAAATAAACAAATAAAAAATCCCTTAAGGCTTAGCCCTGCTTGTTAACTGTACCTGACACTGGCCATATTATTTTTCAAAGATAACCTCTTAAACATACTCATATTTAATTTGAATGAAAATTAATGACATTATTCATGCTTCTAGACACGAAGGAATAATTAATGCAAGATTTTCTCAACTTCTGTACAAAATAAAAAATTTGAGGAAAAAAAAAGGAGGTGGCAATTTGTGATCTCCAGGAAACTAGAATAATGAGATCACAGAAAAGTCATCTCTACTGGGTTCCTAGTGAAGCCTTCTAGTCACCACAGCTTAGGAAGGGAGCAGGAAAACAGTATCTCTCACCAAGGAGCTAATAGTCAGTTTATGATCTGTGGAAGACACACAGTAGAGAGAAGATGA